TCATCTGTACATCCAACAAACTTCCTTGAAAACCTCTGTACCACACTAGAAGGAGAGAGGTAAGGTCCTGGCCCTGAAGGAGCCCAGAGCCCATGGGAGAAAGACGTGTGAAGAGAGATTCGTGCTTCTGCAACAGGGGTACATGAGGTGCCACACAGAGCTGAGAGCAGGAGGAGGAAGGGTCTGAAAACGGGAGGTGGCAGGGTGACTGCAAAAGAGGCTGTATGTGAGCTGAGTCCTTTACAAAAAGCAGAAGTTGCCCAGATGGACAAGCTCACCAAGAGTCAATCAGGCAGAGGGAGGAATAACATCTCAGGTTCCAGAAAAGTAAAAGAGTAAGCGGGACCCCCTTTTAAACACCTACCATGAGCCAGGCACTGTGCTAGGTGATGTAACATACATTTCCCCGTTCTCATCCTTTGGATATGCGTGCGAGGTAAATGCTATTAACCCATTTCATAATATGAAAACTGAGGCTCCCAGTAGTTGTGACCTGCCCAGGGTCCTGCAGCCAGAAAGCGGCAGAGTCAGGCTTTGAACACGGACCATCTGGCTCCCGATCTCATAGTCTTTCTCTCACCCCAGCATTCCTCCTTGGGAACTGGACCCTACAAGACAAACTTGGAGCCCGACCCAGTGACCCACATGTGAAAGAGCCACAGCTCCGCTAGCAGGAGGGAGAAGTGAGAGACTGTTGGCAGAAGGTGTGCTCTGGGCGGGGTTGCGGTGAGGTGGGTGGTTGATGGAGACAGTGGGCAGAGAAGGGAGAATGTGGGTGACCTGGAAATGCCAATCTCTCTTATTCTGGGTTTATTTTAAGTTGAATGACTGTACTCCGGGTTGCCATTGCCTAATCATTTCCATTTAAATCTCCCTTACAGCTAAATCTTATGCTAAAAATTTACCGGCCCACAAATTTTTGTTAACCAGCCTGCTACGAATACGATACAGATGGCCAAATAAATAAAACCCATCGGTAGTTATGACAAGCCTCCCTGAAATGGTAAGTGGCCTTGGGCTTCTGGGATGTGGCTTCGAGAAGACTGACTAAAATAATGAACAGGAAGATGAAACAAACATTAGGTCTCCGGGCATTGTGTGGCCCTGCCAAGCTGGCAACCCAGCTTCTGCAGACACCCTTAGTTGGCAAGCTCTCTTTTTCATGAAACACAGGGTATGACAGACACCCATCATCATAATAAAATAACCTCACGAGCTAATTTCCCGAGGCTTCGGTCTCGGCAGGGAAGGATATAATATAGCAAGCCAGCAGAAGCCAACCAAGTGGTGATACAGTAGTTCTGTTTTACATTACATTAAATGTTACTATTTCTGAAGGGAATGTCTGTGGAGCACTGGTGTTACCCATAGCAACCAGCTAATAAATTGTAACTTACACTGCCTCAGCTTATTGTAGGGGTGGAGAACAGCAGGGGGAAAAAAAAGACCAAAATTAAAAAAAAAAAGGCAAATGCTGGCAAAAATGCCACATTTTCCCCGCTCTCACCACCTCCCCTACACACAAGTGCACGCGCGTGCGCGTGCATGCACACACACACTACCACAGATGCGGGCTGCATCAGCATTCTCTAGCAAAATTACTTAAGGTGAAGTGGGACAATTAGCAGCCAAGGGTTTAAAATTCTTGACCTTCGTATTTATATAGATGGTGCCTCTTTTAAAGCTCAGAAGATATGCTTTAAATGTTTCTGACTCTGGGCGCTGCCCTTTACAAGGATGACCACGGGCATCTGCTCACAGCCTCTGTCGAGGTAGTCTTCAGCGTCAAGCCTGCACCTGGAATTAAGCTGTTCACCTTTCCCCTTTCTGTCTGCAAATAGCTCATGCCTAATTGTCCCCCTCCTTCAAACTCACAGCAGGCTGGCGAGCCTTGCTCTTTGCTACACTGAGCCTACTCTGTGGCCCCAAGACCAATAGATTCTTTCCTTCCATTGACTCCTGTTCCGGGAGCCATTCAGTCTTTTATGCATCCATTTGGTCTCTCCAAAACTTGGGCCTTGGATCTGTATTTACACTTTGTGGCCTTCAGACAGTCTGTTCATCTGTGTGGGCTGATGAACTGTGTAGGCTACCTACCTGTCCACGTGAACAGTGTTGAACTTAATGAAATTGCTCCTTCCTCTGAAATGCCCATCACTCAGCCACCTGGGACAAAGTGACCGACGCTCATACCACCTGAATAAGTGCCCGGGGCATCCTCTTTCTGTCTGGCCATCTCTGCTCTGTGTGCAGAATTGGGGAGCTGGAGAGTGCACCGAGGCTCAGACCAGAGGGGATCCCCTTGTCTCTTCCTCTAGGGGACCAGCACAGGGCACAGAGATGCATGGAACTTGGAATCAGGTACTCAGGATCAAGAACAACCTCGGGTACTTAAGAGCTGAGTGTCATTTGGCAAAACCATTTTGCTTCTGGGAACTTAATCTCCTCATCTGCAAGTGACAATACTGGATCAGTTAGCACACGTTTAGCTACAGTAACGGAAAACCCAACTGACAACGCTTTAAAAAGGAAGAAACATTATATATGTATCACTGAATCACTATGCTGTACGCCAGAAACTAACACAACATTATATATCAACTATACTTCAATTAAAAAATTAATTAATTATAAGGAGGAAACATTTTCTTATAAGGCAATGGTAGGAGAAGCTGGAGGCTGTTTCCAGTTCCCTGTAATTCTCTCCTGTGGGTTCCTTTCATCATCAAGTTCTCCACACCAGAGTGTGTCTCTACTGCAGTCTGTGCGTCCGTCTGCTCGCCCAGACCTGCCTGTCTCACTCATCCCCAAAAGCCCCTGCCTCCAGCTCCGTGCCTGGATGTGGTCAGAAGGAAGGGATGGGTGAGTGAGTGAATGAGGGAGTGATTCTAAACCGTCTCCCTTCTCATAGAAGAAAAAGGGAATTGGGGGAAGACAAAAAGCTGTAATTTGGGGAGAATGCTCTGTAAACTGTAACATGCTGCAAAGTATTCATTACTACATTCAGGAAGGTTCCTGCCATGGGAGCAGCCTCTTGGGTGCCAGTGTGAGCTCTAAGGCACACCGTAATGTTAGTGCGGTGTTTGATGGGACAATGGAGGGAAGATATTTTTTTCCAGGAAAAGTAGATGACTTTTGGCCCCTAAAAACAAAACAAAAACAAAAACAAAAACACCCACAGTGTAATCATTAATTACAAAGGTCAAAAGTTATCTTTATACTGAAGAGATCTGAGAGACATCCCCTTAGCCAAATAATTAAACTTGGCATCACAAACAATGAGGGCAACTGACCTTACGACTTTATGGCCTCCTGATGTGTGCAGTGGGGTCCACACGGTATCACCTGTGTAGCAGTCTTCCCTCAGACACTCAGCCTGAATATGATCGTGAGGAAGCAATCAGCAAACCCCAGTTCATCAGACAGTCATCAGGACAACCAGCTGGACGTTTTTGAATAATGTCAGTGTCAGGAAGACAGAAAGTCAAAAGGCAGGTCTCCTGCGAATTCACAGAGACTAAGAAGATATAACAACCAAACTGCAATGAGTGAATCTGGTTGGTTCCTTCTCACAAAAATGCTATAAAATGTATTTTTTTGACAGTTGGACTATACATTGGATAATCCTATCACGCTAATGTTAAATGTCTTCAGTGTGATTGTCGTATTTTAGGAGAATGTCATTCTTAGTAGTTCCATTGTGACATGTCATGATGTCAGTAACTTACTTTGAAATAGTTTAGGGGAAAAAAAACCTAGACACAAATACACTCATGTAAATACACACACCACACACAACACTCAGGCACACATATGCGTGGAGGGAAGAAGCAAATGTGGAGAAATGGGAGGGTGACATAAATATTCACTGTGCTGTTCTTTCAAGGTTTCTGTAGCTTTGAATTATTTTAATCTAAAATATTGGGCGGAAAGACATTAGCAGAGAGCATCAAAATCCTCTTTACTCCTTCAGACACTGTTCTGGTTAGACATTTACATTGTGTCCATTTTGATTCTTTCAGTTTTTATTATCTTGCATTTGTCTTCGGAATTCTCCTACCCAGGCTAAATTAGAAAAATCAGGGCAACGTGTCAGAGCACACGCATTTGTAAGGATGCACCAGTCTTTCAAAAACATCAGCTGGGCTCCTGCTGCGAATTCCTACTGTTCCTCTTTTCTTTCTCTCTCTCTTTCTACTCTCTCTCTCTGCCTTCCCACCAGTCACCTCAAGTGCCCTGCGCATTTAAATGACCTTGGTCCCTGCCCTCCAGTCCTGTACATCCTAGATATGCCGTCCTTTGAGGCGAAGCAAGGAAAAGAGCACCAGTCACAGCCCCAGTGCCCACCTCCCACAAACAAACACCTGAGACTTGGACGAAAAGACAGCAGGACTAAAATTTAGCCTTAGATTATCCAGACCATAGCAGAGGTGGGATTTGGGGAGGATCTTGGTGGAGGAGGGGCTCAGAATTGAGAAGCTCGGTCTGGCCTAGGCTGATAAAATGTAGATCAGGCCAAGCCCAGGATGCTAGGCCATCTGGCAGAATTTCTAGGAAGGGCTGGTCCCTGCTGCTTCTTGTCCCTGAAGCTGGAAGAGGCCAGCGTGTGTGACTGGCTGTTGGCAAATGGCCCTTCACCCCCTGGGGTGTCCAGTCTCGCTGTGCTCATTTACCAGATCTGCATACCTCTCTGGTATTTGGCCGTCTTGTGACTTCATTCCTCAACCCTCCTCTAGTCCACTGCTGCTCCCCGGGCAGGGCCAGACTTTTCCACAGACGGAACCAGCCAGGGGATGATGGTGACGGAGGCCCTCTGGCACGCCAGCTCACTGGGGGCTGCCCCACATTTGAGGACCTTCAGGCCTGCTTTATCCATTAGGCATAGTGTGCGAAGCACCTGAGGACCATGATACTATTAGGGGCTCACAAAAATATTTTAACATTAGGGGGAAAAAATGAGCTGGTAGGGTCAAAGATTATATTCTTTATTCCAACATAGTCATAAAATGTAATTTGTAATATTTTTATACAGGAAGCCCTGCCCCCTCCTCCCCTAAGGAGAGTGTGCCCAGGACCCTAGAAGGTCATGATGCAGCCCTTTGGGACTAGTTGGCTCTGCACCCCAACCCCCCCAAACACAGGGTACCCAGAAAGACGAAGCCCCAGACGCCTTGGCACCTCTGGCCACGTTTCTTTTCTCTCCTGCGGCTCCTTCCCCAGCTTTGCCCACCACCGCAGCTCTAGGACTCACGTTTTTATGAATCTGCAGCAAAATGAGACAGATAAGAACAATGTGATGAGTTGAGTTTATACTACATACGAGACTTCTTTTTTTTCTGAAAGTGTGTATTTCTTTCTTTTTAAAAAAGCTTCTGATACTAAAATGCTTTTTTAATCTCTAAAATTATGATAATGGCAGATGATATTTTGAAGGACTGTTATTTCACAAAATGTAAAAGTTGGTGTCTCTGTGTGGGTCCTGCCCTCCCCCATGATTCCGTGGACATTGTGCTGGTCTGAGCTACCTTCAGCTTATTTTCAAGACTAACCTCTCACGGCTCATCTTCCATGAAGCCCTGGCTGGCTGGCCCCAGGCTCTAGGCTCTGCCAGTCCCTACATCACTTCCACCACAATACTCGCTTCCTCTTGCCCCACTAGTGTTTTCTTGACCGAAGCCACTGCTAGGCATCCCCAGGGAGGCAGGACGGCACCTTACTTCTGTGTGTCTCCTCCCCTTGGCACGATGCCTGGCACACAGGAGCTGCTCAATCAATCTTTGTTGAATGAACGGTGAAACATACCAATTCCCAGAAAAATTAAGCTAATGGATAGAATTTCTCCAGCTTTTTGTTTTTCTCTCTACATTTTTATTAAATCTTTGGCACCTGCTATTGCTTGTCCACTGGCCAGTGCTAGCAGATGACAGAGAGAATTAGCAAGTAGCAAATGAATATTAATGGACCCAGACATAGCCGCTGGTGCTTAGTTTGACAGCTTGTTTTTTCAGTGGACAGGTGTTTGGGCTTATGGTTGTGGTTTTATATTGTGTGTTAGTGTCTGGAAATTTAATTAAATGTAACATTTCTAAGCAACTTAAGCATACAGTAGCTAAATGTGTAATTTTGTGCTATATCATCGGTTGTATTTTGGACTGAAAAAGATCAACATTTCATGGTGTTCTGCAAAGGATACTATGACTGATAGGAACTCCCCTGCAGGAAAACACTAGAGACTAGAAGACAGAGGACCACTGTCCTGGTGCAAGTGTGGGCTCTAGGGGCAGATTTTTAAAGGGAGACTAAAAGGAAGCGGGAAGTGGTACCCAGGAAGGGGGGTTGGAGAGGTTTGTACAAGGCCAGGGCAAACGCTCTGCCCCCGTCCCTCCCTCCCATTGCTTGGGTCTGAGAATGTAATTCTCTCTTGTTTGTTTTTGCTGAGGCTTTAGGTGCATCTGTATTAATGTCTGTGTGTGTTGAGGGTGTGGCAAATAATTAAAGCAATTATTGGGTGAAGAAGAAAAGGCTTCGGTCCGTCTCAGGGTGAATCTTCCCACACTCAGCTCTGATCCTGTCACTTGTCTGTTGAGAAAATCCCCAGGGGCACCATTTGCAGCCTGAGCAGCCTCATTTCTTGTCTAGTGTTTAAGTGTCTCAAATCCAGCCCCGGTGTAACTTTCCAACAGTACTTCCACTACGCCTCCACACACGCTCTGTAGGCCAGCTGAACGGAATGTACCACCTGGCTTTCCAGTCCAGTCTGCTTTCTTGATTCTAGTACAGTTTCCTTTTTTTCTAGATCTGGGAGGTCCTTCAGTCTATCTCCAAAAATCTTACCTGCTTTTCAAGGCCCAGCCTCTATTCTACTTCCTTCATGGAGACTAGCCCAGTGTCCCCCCAGTGGGTGTCATCACTGTCTTCTTTGACCTCCTACATCTCTTTCCAGGCACTTAACATAGTCTGCTTTCTAGAATAGTAATTTCTATATTTTATTATCCCCATGCCCCAGAGCAGACACACATAGATCTGTTACAAGAAAGTCATGGTAAGGGAGTTTTATTCATCTGTGTCTAATACCACACCTGGCACTTTGATCTCATTTTATCTCTGTTGCATTGAGTTGAATTGGTGTCCTCGATAAGGCCCAGCTGAATGCTGCATCTATTTTGCTCATATTCTGTGTATCAGAATTCTTCCAGCTGCAAATCAAAGATGAACCAACACAACAGGGCAGCATCAATAAGGAAAGTAAATAACAATATCTCACCTTCTAAGACATCAGGAGGTAGGGAGGCTCCTGGGTTGAGTTCAGTGGCTCAGTGATGTCATTAAAGACCTCCCTTCTTCGGCACGAGGGCCACCCCTGAACTGGTCACAGTGCAGCTGCTCAGGCCCAGGTTCTGTACACAGATCCAACACCGGGGAGCTAAGAAAAGAAATATCCTTTCTATGATGCTCTGTTTATCACAAGGGAAAATCTTTTCTACGAGAGTGCTGGCAGATCTCCCCCCTCCACAAACATATTATTGATCAGAATTGTAACACATGTCCAGGTCTAAAACAATTGCTGGCAAAGAGAACAGAATTATCCCTATTGGCTCGGGCTAATAGAGATTCACAGCCTTGGTCACGGAAAAGGTGCAGACTCCCCTAAGCACGTGGCCACCAGATGTCTAAACAAACTGGGTTTGGTGTCGAGGCCGAAGTAAGAAATGGCTTTGTCCAGGCACAGTTGTGTCTGCCAAAGTCAGTCTGCGTTACAGACTATACAAAGCCTGCGGCTACCAGAGCAGGAGACCTGAGCTCTCAGATAGCAATGCGGAGGATGGGCACCCTTGCCTCCCACAGGGAGGTCACACAATGGCTACTATTCATTTCTAGCCCCTTCCTCTTCCACCTTCCAACACCCCCTCCCCTATCCTCAAACTCAGCCAATGACTTGCCTAGGAAACATAAGTAAAGAAGTTCCAAATTCTTCTACCTACCTCTACTCACCAGCTTACATCACTGCTCACATTCCATTGTTTCTCTCCTCCCACATGACCAATGGTCCATTCTTGTTCCCAGTCAAGGGCAGTGCCTGCACTTGGACCCTAAGTTTCAGTCCCTCTCGACTCAAGGACGTCATCCGGCCAATCTCCTTTCTGTCTTCTGCATCACTTGACTGGATTTTCCTCTCTCCTCTAGATCATTCTCATCCATGAACAACATGCACCCAAACTTACAACGCCCTTCTTGATGGCACATCCTTCTACCACCACGGATGCATTTCCCTAGTTCCCCTTATATCAGAATTCCTCCAAATGGGAATCTATGACCATGCTCCAATTCCTCTCCTCCCATTCACTCTTTTTTTAAAATCATTATTATTGAAGTACAGTCAATTTATAATGTGTTAATTTCTGGTGTACAGCATAGTGATTCATTCATACATGTATATGTATGTTCCTTTTTATATTCTCTTTCATTGTAGGCCATTACAAGGTATTGAATACAGTTCCCTGTGCTGTACAGTAGGACCATGTTGTTTATCTATTTTATATACAGCACTTCCATTCACTCTTCAACTCCTCCTGAGCAGGCTTCCACCCTTCTCACTCCACTAAAACTCTCCCTCTTACGGTAACTAAAGATGTTCATTGACTAAATCCAGCCAACAATTCTCAGTCCTCATCCTGCTGGATCTGTTAGCAGTATTCAACATAATCAATTCCTTCTTTCTACCAGTAACACAGCATCTGTGACTTGGTTCCCAGGACACCACACACACCTGTTTTTTTCTCCTATTGCACCAGCGGATCCTTCTCTGTCATATTTGCGATCCGTCTTCCTTTCTAAATGTTATGGTTTCCTGGGGCTCAGTCCTGCCACTCCTTATCCTGACCTAAACTCACACCCTCAGTGCTCTCATCAGCCTCATGGATTTAGCTATCAGTGCTATGCTGATGACTCCCAAGGGGTGTTTGCAGCCTGGACATCCCCACTGGATTCTAGACTCAGACATCCAACTGCCTACTTGACATCCTAATCTGAATGTCCATATGACAGTTCAGATTGCACATGATTGTACCAGTTATCTATTGCTCCATCACAAATCCTAAAGCTTACTGGCAGTGTGGACAGACTCAGCTGGATGGTTTGCCTGCTGGCTCTCAGGAGACTGAAGTCCTCTGGAGGATTTACTTGGACTGGACAGTTTAAGATGCCCTCATTACATGTCTGACCGTCAGTCGAAGCCCTTGGTTGTCCTCCATATGACTCTCCTACAGAACAGCCTGGGCTGCTTCTATGGCTGAAGCAGCCTTCTAAGAGGACAAGTCCCAATGTACAAACCCCAGTGCATGACTAATTGAGGGCCATTGAGGTCTTAACCTCTCATAATGTCCAAAACAGAACTCCTAGCACTTACCATAAATGGCGACTTTATCCTTTGGCTCAGGCCAATTCTGCAACTCCTCTCTTGTTTCCACAGTTCTCATGGACTCCATCATCAAATTCTGTCAGCTCCTTCTATAAAACCGTATCCTGAATCCAGCCTCTTCTCACCACCTCCTTTCTACCACCGGATCCAGGCCACCTCCATGTCTATTACACTGGCTTTTAGTTGGTTTCCCTGCTGCCACTCTGACCCCTGTGGTCTGTTACCAAATTGTCAGCCTGAGCAACCCTGTTCAAACATTAATTGGATGATTTCACTGCTCTCCTTAAAACTCTCCCAAGTTTTTACAATGGTCAACAAGTTCCTACATGATTGCACTCCTTGCTACCACCCTTCCCTCCTGCACACACATAACATTACCTCTTTGACCTCATTTCCAAATATTCTCCCTTCTTCACTTAGCTGCAGCCATGCCAGCGTCCCAGATGCTTCTCAGCCATACCTGGTGCACTCCTGGCTGAGGGCCTTTGCACTTGCTGTCCCCCTGCTCAGAAGCCTCTTCCCTCAGACATCTGCAGGCTGGACTCTTCATTCAAATGTCAATTTCCAGGGAGTGTCAACTGATTTAAAATTGCTGCCCCCCTCCTCCAGCACTCCCGTCCCTTCCCTGGTTTTCTTCTTCTCACAGCCCGTTTTAACATCTGACATCCTACCTGCTTTACTTGCTCATTTGTTTCTTGTCTGTCTCTCCCTCTGAGAATGTTAACTCCATGAGAGCAGGTTTTCTTTTTGTCTGTTTTGGTCCCCCAGCACCCAGAACAGAGCCTGGCATTTAGTAGGTGTTTTTTCAGATTTGTTAAGTGACTGAATTCATTGAGCATTCACTCTGTGCTACGGATTTCAGCCAGTGTCTTACCCCTGAACTCCCCATGCTAACCCTAGTAACCAAGAACTACGATCTCTCCTCGTATACAGCAGGTGCTATTGTCTCCATTTTGCAGATGAAGAAACTGAGGCTGGCTAGTTAAGTAAGTCACCTGAGGTCACACAGCTGGCAAAGGAAGAAGCTCTTCCCCAGCAAGTGGAACGGTCATTTGCCTTCCCCAGTTTGCTCACGGCCCAGAGGTGGGGTGGGCAGCATCTTTGGGTGGTATTCCTTTCTTTGGGTGACTGCCTTGCTAGAGTTCCATTGTGTTCCAAATCCGCAGTTATGAAAGAAAAGGAGAAGGAGGAGGAGGAAGAGAAGAAGAAAGTGTTGGGAGAGAAAGGGATAGAGAAAGGTGGTGGAAGGGCGGGGTCAGGGGCCATCCAGCTGCCTCCTGGCTTGACAGTAGAACACAGGACCACCCAGAAGGCATGGGAGGAGGACTCATGTGTGCTCCCCTCCGCATCCCCCAGCTCATGGTGTGCCTTTCAAACCTGGCAGTGAGGTCTGACTTGGTTTTCCCTCATGGTAACCACTGGATTCTCAGTCAAAAAACACGCCTTTTCGTAAGCAGCAGCTGCAGAACTTTTAGAATAAACCTTGCCCACCCCATCTCCTGCCCCGGGCGGCTTTGCTCATTGCCCTCCCCCCAGCTGGCGTCAGGCAAGATGAGGCCCCACTCAGATCTGGGGTGGAGCTGGGAAAGGGTTGTCAGCCCCCACCACTGCACAGACCAGAACGGCTCTGCGGTGGGTGAGGATGAAAGGGAACCTTTGGCTGGCTGACATCTGGCGGCCAGGAGTGGGCCGTGGGCTGGGAGAGCCCTGCCGAGCTCCACAGGGCGGCCATTGCTGCAACGGAGGCTACTCTGTTCTTGTGACTGATGCACATGCACATATTTAAAAAAAAATTTTTTTTTGAACAGTTTAGGTCCAAGAGAGACGGCTGTGGTTGATAGTGTCTAGAGAAAAATGGCAACTACTGTGTTTGGGTTATCATATGACAGCTCACAAAGAAAGGGGCTTTGTTCTATGATTGGTTTCTCTAGTCAATTAAATGTGTAATATCTCCATGAGGTCCCTGCTGTTTAAGTAGAGATACTTCAGACACATTTCTCAGACATCCAGGTGATTACTTAATTTAAGGTTCGTTTGTTCTTTTCTTTCTTTCTTTCTTTCTTTCTTTCTTTCTTTCTTTCTTTCTTTCTCTCTCTCTCTCTTTCTTTCTTTCTTTCTCTCTCTCTTTCTTTCTTTCTTTCTTTCTTTCTTTCTTTCTTTCTCTCTTTCTTTCTTTCTCTCTCTCTTTCTTTCTTTCTTTCTTTCTCTCTTTCTTTCTTTCTCTCTCTCTCTTTCTTTCTTTCCTTCTCTCTCTCTCTCTTCCTTCTTTCTTCTTTCTTTTCCTCCCGTTTTGCTCCTTCCTTCATTCCTTCCCCTCTCCCAATTTTTCTTCTTTGGTTCATCTTCTCTTTTCCAAGTTCTTTTCTTCCCTTTCTGCTGCTCCCTACCCCCTTTTCCATAAATAGAAAATTATAAGTGAGGAAAGAAGGGAAAGAGGAGAGGGGTCAGAGAAGTACTGTAGAAATCACAAGTGATTACACAGGAGGCTAGTTAACATCCATGTGTGATCACTTGTGCTTTGAACCTAAGGTGTACGTGTGGGTTCCTAAACACTGTCAGCTTCACTCAGAGCCTCCGTGGAGATGCTGTCCCTGATCAAGTCCCAAGGACCATGAAATCTGGGCTGGGTGGGATGTGGGGAAGACAGAGAGATGGGCAGCGGTGGTAGAGAGCCAGGGGACTTCATGGATGGAACTAAAAAAGCAGGCTCTTGGGTACAAGAAGAAACAAAAAAATTGACCTCCTGCTTGTTTTTGTGAACCATCCATACAAAGCAGCTGGGAAGCGAAGCAGAGGCTGTGGATAAAGTCACCCAGAAGGAAACTTATGAAATGCCCCAACCTCTGGATGCTGTGACTTCCTGGAGCCCAGAGGCTGGGGGTCCACTCTGCAGGCTTGAGGGCATAGTCCCAGGTATTTGTGTAAACACTCCTTCATCCAGCCCATAAAGCTTTAGCTAAGGGCCCACCTGCCAGGGGCCAGGCTCAGCTCAGGGAGTGAAAGGCACAGTTACATCAGACAGTCTCTGACCTCAAGAAACTCACTAGCTAAATCACACAAGTAAACGCATAACCTTAATTAGTGGGGAAGCACTACCTTAGAGGTCTGCATAGCTTTCACAGATGATGAACTCAGTGCTAGAAGGAGGCAGGTAGGGAGAGAGGAGGAAGGGGGCTTCATAGAGAAACTGATGCTTCATTTGTTCCTACAAGAAGGGTGAGTGTTTGTCAGGTTAATAGGTAGTGGAAGGTGAGATGGTGCACCTGGCAGAATCACAGGCACATATAAGGGCACGTCCAGGAAACCGTAGGTAACTGGGTAAGACTGTATCGTAGTGGGAAGGATCAAGAGCCTAGAGAAGTTGGAGTAAGCTCAAAGAAGGTGTTGGGGGGTACTTGGGGGAGGTGCCCATTCTAAGGAATCTGACTCTTCTGTAAGCAATTGGCAACTCCAGAAGGGTCTCATCTGCACTTTGGAAAGATGCGTACTTTAGAAGGATGAATGAGCAGGGAGTGAGCCCACCAGCTGGGAGCCCAGGTGGGAAACCATGGCAATAGTCTAGAAGGAGGTGATGAAGCCCCAAGCAAGGGCAGAAGCCATAAAAACAGAAAGGAACACATCGCTTTGAAAGATATTGAGGAGGGAGAATCAGCAGTCCTTGTTACCAACAGGACTTGGAAAGTGAGAAGCCTGAAATTAATCCCAAGGTTCTGACTTCTATGATTGAGTGAAAAGTGCATCATTAACTGAGAGAGGAAATTGAGGAGAAAAAGTAGTTTAGAGGGAAAAATGAGCTAAGTTTTGGGCATGTTCAGTCTATGATCTGGTAGAATATTTCTTTATTTTTTATTGAAGTGTAGTCAGTTACAATGTGTCAATTTCTGATGTACAGCAAAAAGTCCCAGTCATGCATATATATACATATATTCTTTATCATATTCTTTTTCATTAAAGGTCATTACAAGATATTGAATATAGTTCCTTCTGCAGGTAGAAAATTTCAAAAGGCTATTGGCTTTATAGGGGTAAAGCTCAGAAAAAAAGAACTGTGCTGAAAATGTCAATTAAGGAGTTGTCTACTGAGAGAGAAGCAGAGACCACATGAAGACTAGAGGAGAACGGAATCATACAGAGAGTACACGGGAGTGGGGAGCTAGTCTGACCTTTTTCTCACACCCCATGTCCTGTCAGCTCTCCCTTCAAAGTATATCCTGAATTCACTTCTCACCACCTCCATCACCACCCCAGTGTAAGCCTCCATCATCTTGCACCTGGACATTGCAATAATCTACTAATTGGTCTCCTTGCTCCTATTTTTACTTCCCTGTAGCCTATTTCCTATACAACAGCCAGATTGGACTTTAAAAAATGTGAACTAAGTCATGTCACTCTAATGCTGTTGACCATCCAATGGTTTCCCTTGACACACAGAATAAAGCCCCAATTCCCATCCCATATGATCTGTCTTGCTTGGTGTGAGATGTTTTGCTTGGTCTTCTTTTCTGAACTCACCTGTCACCTCTCTGCTCCCTCTGCTTCCGCCACACTGACTTTCTCTCTCTCAAACATGCCCCAGGACCTTTGCACTTGTTTCCCCCTCAACACAGAATGCTCTTCCTCCATATCTTTCTACAGCTTCAAGTTCTCTGACAAAATTTTCAAGTTTGCATTCCATTTCTTTGCACATAGTAAGCATAGTTATTCTGTCCACTATGTGGGATAAATCCAATAGCTTAGGGTTTTGTGGGCCTGTTTTTGTTTTCTGCTGTTTCTGCTGGTTCTCACTCACACAGTCTTATTTCTTGGTTATATCTGACTATAGGCTGGAGATTTCATTTTAGAATAATCTGAGACCCAGGGTGATAGGATCTCCCTCCTGAAAGAATTTTCATTTGCTTCTAGAACGTACCTCATGTTGCCCTTAGTCTGGAACCCCTTTAACAGAAGTTCTAGGCTCAAGGGCTCCTGTAGCATCCAGATGACTTGAAGTCAGGTTGCAAGTCTGAGTGAGGGCTGAGTCTGGGTTAGTTACCCTGAGGATGTAGCTCTTAGAGGGTCCCAGCTTCAAGTTCAAAGCCCCCACCTTCTTCTTGGGCTTTGGTGTTTGTCCTCTTTGCCTTATGAAGCCATCAAAAGCTCAGCTCAGTTTTGCAGATACTTGTTGCACATCGGCAGGTGTCCTCAGAGCAACAGTGGCCCTGGGGATTCCACTATATTGTTGCTTGACTACTTTTTTTCCTCTTAAATACGTAGCATTTTAAGCATATTAAGGGTTAAATAGACTTGTGTGTCAGCCT